ACAGTTACTCACCAGTGACTCACGGCCTACCCGTACCCGGCCGCACCAGGGTCGCAAACGGGTACCCGTACCCGGCCGGGTACGGGTAGCCGGGTATTGGGTAGGGTACGGGTATCGGGTAGGGTACGGGTATCGGGTACCCGGTTGCGACCTCTGGCGCTGGGGAGGCGAGGCCGGCCGGCCACGTCGCTCCCCAGTGCGCACCGTGCCTGCCTGCACAGATGCTCGCTCACGGCACGTGGCCCAGTAGCTACACGGGGGTGGTCGTGGTGGTGGGGGGGGGGGAGCTTTGTCTTCGCACGTGTGAGGTCGTGTAATGCGTGGGCGCACGTGTGCGTTTTGCTTGTGCGAGTGCGGGTTTCTTGTGCGTGATCGTGTCTCTGTGCGTGTGTGTTCGTGGCCGTGTACAGTCTTGTCGTGCGAGTGCCATGCTGTATAATGCAGCAGATGGAACCATCTGCTCGGTGAGGACGGCAGTCAACACAGACACACGCTGATGCACACAACAACAACAACAAATGCCGCAGTAATGTCACCACAGGGCTTGTGCCAGGCCAGGTGCACTCTGAAGCCACATGAACTGTGGGAGGCTCGCTGTCAGGAGGTGATGGGACAGACCCAGGTGCCATGTGTTGACTTAATGGGCCCCCCACTGTGCCAACTTGCTGCCTTTTATTCGCCCGGCACTCCGCCCGTTGTTGTGAGCATCGCTCCACTGCCCTCCGCTGTTGCTTGAGGGCGACCGCCTCCAACTGCCCAGTAGCAGCAACGTCCTTCACAAGCCTCCTCCACAGAGGCCGATCTTGACACCGCCGGTACCGGTCATCGGCAAGTCCACTCGGATCCACATCCTCCCGTATCGCATCAGTCCAGCTCTTCTCTTGCTTCCTCTATCCGGCCAAACAGAAGTTGCTTGGGGGTATGCGGTGGCTGGGTATGCGGTGGCTGGGCATGCGGTGGCTGGGCATGCGGTGGCAGGGCATGCGGTGGTTGGGCATGCGGTGGCTGGGCATGCGGTGGTTGGGCATGCGGTGGCTGGGCATGCGGTGGCTGGGCATGCGGTGGCTGGGCATGCGGTGGCTGGGCATGCGGTGGCTGGGCATGCGTTGGCTGGGCATGCGGTGGTTGGGCATGCGGTGGCTGGGGCAAGCGGTGGCTGGGCATGCGGTGGCTGGGCATGCGGTGGCTGGGCATGCGGTGGCTGGGCATGCGGTGGCTGGGCATGCGGTGGCTGGGCATGCGGGCTACACGACCCAGCCAACGCAGCCTCGTCTGCCGGAGGAGCTCACCGATGCGACTGCGTCCAGCTCTTTCAAGGATCTGTGAGACTCACACAATCCAGCCTGGTTAAGCCCAGGAATGGATCGTAGGCAGGGCCAGCCTGAATGTTTCAAATCGGTGTGGAGATGTTCCTTTTAAGAAGATCTCCGTTTCGCAAGCATAGAGAAGGGAGGGCATAACCCCCGTATAGCCTTCACAGACTGTCGGGGCAAGTGTTGTTAGCGAGCAGCACCTATGAAGGCCAGCACGGTACACGGGGGGGAGGGGCGGGTGGGTTGCCAGCACCACGCCCAGGTACTCATTTGAGGCTGAGTCGACCTAGGGGAGGCCAAGGGCCAGTTCAGATAATCGTCAACCGGCGTTGCCCGCGAGCGGAAATCGATCCCGGGTCGTCGGGTTCATGGCACTCGACACACACACACACACGTGCGCACACACACACACACGTGCACACACACACACACACGTGCACACACACACACACGTGCGCACACACACACACACGTGCGCACACACACACACACGTGCACACACACACACACGTGCGCACACACACACACACGTGCACACACACACACACGTGCGCACACACACACACACGTGCACACACACACACACGTGCGCACACACACACACACGTGCGCACACACACACACACGTGCACACACACACACACGTGCGCACACACACACACCGTGCGCACACACACACACACGTGCACACACACACACGTGCGCACACACACACACACGTGCACACACACACACACGTGCGCACACACACACACACGTGCGCACACACACACACACGTGCACACACGCTCATCACTTCGGCATTCCTCCGCTTCTCTCTCTCTCTCTCCCTTTTCCATTTTAGTTTGCGCTGTGGAGCTGCGGCGCGGCTCTCGGCCGCCCTAGGGCACGGCGCATTTGTTCTCGCGCGGCATCAAATATGAATGACGTCCATTAGAGGGAGCGTGCGTCTGTGCGCGTGGCCAGCGCCGAGTGTCGGTGCGCGTGTGTCCGTGTGTGCTTGCGGTACGCGCGTCCGTGCGTGTGCGTGTAGTGTAGAGGTTGGCGCGCTGCGCTATGAACCCTGCGAACCAGAGTTCGATTCCCGCTCACGGCCAACACCAATGACGAATATTTGAACTGGTCCTGGGCCTCCACTAGGTCGACTCGGCCTAAAATGAGTACCTGGTGCGGTGTGTAGACATCGCAACTCGGGACACAAAGGCGCTCGGGCGTGGTGCTAGAAACCCCCCCCCCTCGTGTACCGTAACGGCCTTCATAGGTGCTGCTCGCAAACAGCACTTGCCCCAATAGTCTATTAAGGCTACACGGGGGATCTTTGTCTTTTTTGTGTGGGTGCGTGTGCGGGCAGTGGTGGTGCAGCGGTTAACGCGCCACGCTACGAACCCGGCAAACAGTGGCTCTGCAGCACTGCACCCCCAATGCCACTTGTACCACCACCACTTGTACCACCACTACCATATCGCTCGTATTGAAAACTCATTTCTTTTGAACTGCTTTTGGCGTCTAGTTTGGTGTCCTTCCTCCGGCACCTCCCATTAGCACGGTTGGCGAAGTTCATTCAAACCCGGCGACCCGAGTTCGATTCCCGCAAACGGCCAACACGGGTGACGATTAACTGCGCCGATCCTGGGCCTCCGCAAGGTCGACTCGGCATCAAGCGAGTGCCTGGTGCCGTGTGTGAACGTCAGCGCTGTGTAGAGCAGCACGGTGCAACGAGTGGGCGGCGCCAACCACCCACCGCCCCGTGCAGCGCGACGGCTTTAATTTGGCGCTCGCCAACGGCACTTTTCCTAACAGTCTGTTAAAGGCTATGTGGGTGATCTTTGTGCATGTGTGTGTGTGTGGTGCCACGCGACACGAGAAACCGTGTCCATATCAAGAGCAGCAGCGTTGGCACCGCAGGCGGGAGCCGCACTCGGCAGCCGTGAGTGGCGGCTCGGAGCTGGGTTGAACCTTGGGGTGTCGGTGGGTGGAGAGCGGGTAGAGAGTGGGTGAGGGAGGAAGGGATTAGGAGGGAATGAAGGAGGGAGGGAGGCGAGGGAGGTGTGGCAGGAAAGGGAGATGATTTTACGGAGGGTCAGACATCAACGTTGGACCGCAATTGATGTTTGCTGCACAATCTTCATCCAGGCGAAAGAAGAATATGAGTAAGGAAGGAGAGCGTGGAGGAGGCAGTGGTTAGTTGGGAGATAATAGGAGGATGGAGGCAGGGAATGAGTGAAGGAATGAAAGCGTGGGGGAGGCGGGGGTTAGTTGGGAGATAATAGGACGATGGAGGCAGGGAATGAGTGAAGGAAGGAGAGCGTGGAGGAGGCATCTGTGGCGGCGGGGAGTGGTTCCGGCTCAAGCGGACGCGTCGCCTCTCTCCGCGTGACACCAGCGGAGGTCTCGCGCCTCCCGCTTTTGACGCGCGACGCCGCTCTCCTTCCAGCGGCGCCCGGCACAGTCGTGTCGAGCCCGCCAACAGCGCGGAAGAGTGTGAAATGCATCCCTTGGACATTTCGCGTTGTTATTTTTGGGATGCTGCCGCAGACTGCATCATCCCTCGCCATCACGCTGCTGAGACTGGCGTGACGCGCCCTGCAGTGCGGCGTGAACGGTGCGGCCTCGGCAAACGGTGGCTTGGAGGTGTTAACTACCTCTCCCGGTATGCAGGAGGTCGTCGTGGGTTCGAGCCCGACCCTGACACCAAAGGTCGCAAACGGGTTTTGATTCCTTACCCATACCCTACCCGAAATGAGTGACAAACGGTTACTCACCAGTGACTCACGGCCTACCCGTACCCATACCTGGCCGCACCAGGGTCGCAAACGGGTACCCGTACCCGGCCGGGTACGGGTAGCCGGGTATCGGGTAAGGTACGGGTATCGGGTACCCGATTGCGACCTCTGCCTGACACCAGCTGCTGTATATTTGGAGTTTGCGTGTTTCTCTCTCTCTCCCCGTGATCGGGTGGATCTTTCTCCGACTCATCCGGTTTTTTTCCCCCTCTACATTTAGAATCGACATCGCGCGTTCAGAGTATGTGGCTACTTCTGGTAAAACACACGAACACGCAACACGGAACGACTGCCCCGCTCGCACGAGACGCACCGATTCACAGCGTTAGTGGTGCGTTCGCTGGGCAGGTCGCGTTTGATGGGGGGGAAAGTGTGGGTACTCCAGCATGTTCCAAGATGAACCACAACACCTCCGCTGATCTCGTCAGCAAGGAGCATAAACCATCACGTGAACTCCGTCATCCTCGCAGCAGCAGCGGCTTTTGGCTAACCGTCGAAGAAAGGCGGTCACCGCATCACGCGGTTTTTTCTGCGGCCGTCTGGAACGCTCCTCCGATATGAGGAAGCCACTGGGAGCCATGCACTTTTGAATCATCTCGATTGAAAAACTCATTTCTTTAGAACTGCTTTTTGTGTTGAGTTTGGCCGGCGTGGAAGAGGAGGCCAAAGTACGCACTGTTAGCAGGGGTGGGGGGAGCCTCTTCTGGGCGCTCCGTCTATTGGAGGCTCTTCTGCCAGCGATGGCGAGAGAAAATACACTTGCAGGGCTGTGATTTATTTTTACCTTTTTTGTTTGCACGTAAGTAGACCCAGCGGCGGTTTGATGGACGTTGCCCGTCATTCCGTCACTCAAATTTAACGATCTCTCTCTCCGCCCCCCCCCCTGCCCGCCTTCTCCAAACAGCGTGCCTGCTGCAAGCGGAGCTGGTGAACTACGAGCGTGTGCGCGACTACTGCCTCAAGGTTCTGCAGCGGCAGACGGACAACTTCAAGGCGCTGTACCGCGCCGGCGTGGCCTACTACCACCTGGGGGACTACCCCAACGCGCTCGCCTACCTGCGCGACGCTGGCACGCGGCAGCCTCACGGTGGGTGGGTGAGGGTCGGACTCGGAGGCCCGGACTCAGAGGCCCGGACTCAGAGGCCCGGACTCGGAGGCCCGGACTCGGAGGCCCGGACTCGGAGGCCCGGACTCGGAGGCCCGGACTCGGAGGCCCGGACTCGGAGGCCCGGACTTCGGAGGCCCGGACTCGGAGGCCCGGACTCGGAGGCCCGGACTCGGAGGCCCGGACTCGGAGGCCCGGACTCGGAGGCCCGGACTCGGAGGCCCGGACTCGGAGGCCCGGACTCGGAGGCCCGGACTCGGAGGCCCGGACTCGGAGGCCCGGACTCAGAGGCCCGGACTCAGAGGCCCGGACTCAGAGGCCCGGACTCAGAGGCCCGGACTCAGAGGCCCGGACTCAGAGGCCCGGACTTCAGAGTCCAAAATGTTTCTTGCATTCAGAGGATTTCTCCAACTTCTGTCACACGACGCTCTTCCCGCCCCCCCTTACCCACCCCACCCCACCCTGGCTGCCGACTGCTCGCAGACCTGAACGTGAAGCGCTACATCCAGCTGACGGAGATGCGTCTCAGCCGCGCGCACTACCAGCGCGAGCGCGAGGCCGAGAGGGCGGTCCCGGAGTGAGCCGCCCCCTTCGCCGCACGGGGGAGTGCCGTCGCCGGGCCTCCACCGAGGGTGAGCCGGTGGGGGGTGGTGGGGGGTGGTGGGGGGCGGTGGGGGGCGGTGGGGGGGGGCGTTGTAGCCTCAGGGAGGGCTCCGCTGTCGTTACGACCGCTTTCCTGCCGAGGTTCGAAACGTTTCATGCGTCTGTCCGTCACATTTTGTCTCTCCATCCGGCTGTCTGTGTGTCTGCGTGTGTGTCCGTCTGTGTGTCTGCGTGTGTGTCCGTCTGTGTGTCTGCGTGTGTGTCCGTCTGTGTGTCTGCGTGTGTGTCCGTTTGTATCCGAGCTCTCAATGTCCTGACAGTGGCACTGTCTTTGTGCTGTTCGTCTTTTGGCGTCCTCTGGTCTCGCTCTGTTTGAGACGAGGCTCTAAAGAAAGCTGTCTCTGGTGTTGACCAGTTTGTTTCAAAGACAATGCTTCGTATAATAGCAGAGCATGTATTTTTGTTTGCACCACAAGTATATGTGGTGAATGCAGACATGATTCCTTGCAAAAGGTTTCAGTTTGGTGTTTTAACGTCTTAACACAATAGGGTTAAACCTATTCTTATATATGGTCACCAGTCTCAGCGGAACTTGAGTGTCATTTTGTGTCAGCCGCTCACACGTGGGAGGGAGGAAACCGCAGTGCACGGAGAGAACCCACAGGTGCTGGAGGGTGGAGGGGAGGGGGGGCAACGCTCGATCCCACACAGATGGAACCTGGTGTGGAGTCCGCATTTGTTTTTTGCTGCAGTGCCCCCGTCTCGTGGCGAGCCAGCGCTCACACGGCTCCTGCTTGGGTAGAGAAAGGGAGTTGTGCACCATTTGTGGGGCGATCTAACAACCCTCGCCGCCGCCGCCGCCTTCACAGCGCTAGAGCACTACGGGCAGCAGTCGCGTGCAGCAGCGTAGCCACCGCCAGCACCGCCTTGCGATCCTGACCCCTACGATGCCCCTGCTGTATATTTGGAGTTTGCGTGTCTCTCTCTCCGTCTCTCTGTCACTCTCCCCATGGTTTTTTTCCCTCCACATTTAGAATCAACGTGCATATTGAGAGTATTTAGATTATTTTGCTGCCTGAAATTTCCGCACGATAAGCCACTTTGTTCAGCTATCATTTGCGGCCCAGTCGCTTCTAAAAACAAGTTAATGGGGATTGTTTAGTTTTACTTGCATGTTTTTTGGGGGATTTGTATGACTTTCCTGTGTTTTTGTACTGTTTTGTTGTTGCAACGTTCGGACCCTGTGCCCCCTACTGGAGATCTGTGGGAATAAAAAGAGCTTCACGGCTCATCGGATTCTTCCTGCAGTATAAATAAAGATTATTATTCTGGTACCTGTGGTTAAAGTCGTGCGTGTGCGATCGCTGGATTGACCACGGCGGTGCGGATTTGTTTTTTTGGTATTTTGCATGAAATTAAAATAAATGCGTAAATAATTGTATCATTATTATATTACTATTTTTCTCCGATTCCAGGAAGGAGGACGAGCGGGGTTCGCCGCACCGACGACGTTCCCCCGGCGACGGCTTCCTCTTGGCGGCCACGGGGCGCGACGTTGCCGGAGCCATCGGTAACGGAATAAATGCGACGCTGCAGCTAGACAAACGACGACGACGACGACAACAACCGCCGATTGCGATGTAAATACTCTTATAAGGCAATAATTTCAAGACTGTATTGTGGGTAATCGTTGTACGTGTGGATGCACGTTGCGTGCTCTACTGAGAAAACAGACAGACAGACGAGGCTTAAAACCGACTTGTTTGGCTTTCAAGACACACCTGAGATCATCCACGGGCGAGGGGGCGACGCGAAACAGCAACCGTGACCGCAGAACCGTTGCCGCGACGATTGCTCCTTGCCGTGTAAAACCTTTGGACAGACCGGGCTGCCCCCTTCCTGTGCAGCGGGCGACCGGGAATCCGCGAACTTCCAATCGGATCGTGACACGGGGCGTCACGTGACTCCGCCCGAGGGCCGTAGTCCAATCCGCTGCTCGTCGGACGCATTTTATCGACAGGCGTTCGTTCTGGCGTTGGCCGGAGGAAACTCTCCGGCCAACTTCCATCATGCCACCGTGGCCCCCAACTTTAGCGGCGACGATTGCCCCGCGGACGATTTCCCGACGAGCAGAGGTCGCAAACGGGTTTTGATTCCTTACCCGTACCCGGCCGCACCAGGGTCGCAAACGGGTACCCGTACCCGGCCGGGTATGAGTACTCGTACGCTACCCGTACCCTACCCGAAATGAGTGACAAACGGTTACTCACCAGTGACTCACGGCCTACCCGTACCCGTACCCGGCCGCACCAGGGTCGCAAACGGGTACCCGTACCCGGCCGGGTACGGGTACTCGTACGCTACCCGTACCCTACCCGAAATGAGTGACAAACGATGACTCACCAGTGACTCACGGCCTACCCGTACCCGTACCCGGTCGCACCAGGGTCGCAAACGGGTACCCGTACCCGGCCGGGTATGGGTACTCGTACGCTACCCGTACCCTACCCGAAATGAGTGACAAACGGTTACTCACCAGTGACTCACGGCCTACCCGTACCCGTACCCGGTCGCACCAGGGTCGCAAACGGGTACCCGTACCCAGCCGGGTACGGGTAGCTGGGTATCGGGTAGGGTGCGGGTATCGGGTAGGGTGCGGGTATCGGGTAGGGTGCGGGTATCGGGTAGGTGCGGGTATCGGGTAGGGTGCGGGTATCGGGTAGGGTGCGGGTATCGGGTAGGGTGCGGGTATCGGGTAGGGTGCGGGTATCGGGTAGGGTGCGGGTATCGGGTAGGGTGCGGGTATCGGGTAGGGTGCGGGTATCGGGTAGGGTGCGGGTATCGGGTAGGGTGCGGGTATCGGGTAGGGTGCGGGTATCGGGTACCCGGTTGCGACCTCTGCCAACGAGCCACCACGGTGGCTATGAGATGTTAACTCCCTCGCCTGGTACGCAGGAGGTCGTGGGTTCGATCCCGACCCTGACGCCTGCTGCTGCTGTATATTTGGAGTTTGCATGTCACCTGTCCGGCTGCTATGAAGTTTCCACGCGATAAGCCACTTCGTTGAGCTGTCACTTGTGGCGACGGCCAGGTCGCTTCTGAAAAAAGAGCTGTACAGCTCAGTGGGCCTTACCTGGTAAGATAGAAAATAGTTTAGTAATAGCTTAGTTTTTACTTTGGTGTGTCACGATGGGCTTGAGGGTTTAAACAGCAGATGTCTTTGCACTCGACAGGGTTTCTGATGTCCGGGACGTTGCGTGCGCAGCGCGGTAGAATACTACGTGTTTTGCATTTTGTCGCTTGAGCCACATGCCATTGTTTTATTTTTACATTTTTTTGCTCATCGGTTACCGCCGTCATTGTCGTCGTCGTTTTCAAGCGCGAAACGGAGGTGACGCCAAAACTGAAACGCGCCACTATCCGCGGGCACCGGGAAGGGAAGCCAATTGCCGCTCCCGGCTGCATTTAAACCGTATCATCGCGAAAGACTCCGTCTTAACCGTCACGGCAACCTTGACCGGGATTTTATTTATGCGTGTGTGTTTGCGGCTTCTCCCAAAGCGTGTCGTTTTTAAATCGATCGCCGTGTTTACTTTTTAAAAAATTACGAGCGAAGGGGAAGGTGTCGCCCCACCCCCCCACCCCCCCACCCCCCCACCCCCACATGGCGCTTTGCCACCTCTACCAAAGGTGCGTAATGATGCGGCGACGTGACATCGCCTCGCTTCTTGTATCAGAGCGTCTTTAATCCCCCCGGAGCGAACGGTCAGCGGCTGTGTTCATGTCCGGAGGCGCGTTGCTCTCCGCTGCGTCCCGGGCTTCGAGGCAGATGCGGGTGCGGGGAAAAACGGGTCGCGTGACCGCGAACCCGGGGAAATTGTCGCGAACGAAAGCGCCGCTAGGAAAGGGCGAGGAGGAGGAGGGGAGGCCAGGAAAAAAAAACTTGGCCAGCCCTTCGCACGCGGCTCGAGAAACCTGCTGCCAGACGTGACCCGCGGAGAATGGCCTGGTGACGCTTGCGCGAGATGACACGACCCTCCGTCAGAGGCGTTCGCCGGTTGAGCTGCTGTGTCGCTCCCCGACGTTACTTTCGGTGGCGTGGGGCGTTGTGCGCGCTTGGCTTGTACCACGCGCCCGTCGTTTTGGTGTCCCCCCCCCCCCCCGATGTTTCATTCGACCGTTGCCCCGGGAGGTTTTTTCGCAGTGAATATCCGTTCCGGGCTTGCAGAAGCGGAAGAAGCTCTCAGTGCGCGGAGTGAAACAACGGACGTCGTGCGGGGCGACGCGTAGCGGTACAAGCCCAGAATTCTACCGGAGAGAGTGATTTTCGATTTTTTTTTTTAAACTACACACTACCCGGCCAGAACTGAGCCGTCTGGTAGTGGCACTGCTGTCATTTTTGCACGCGTAATTGAGGATTGCCCAGTAATAATATTTATTCGTGTACATATATATTTTAAAATACAAGAGGTCACAAAGACTCTGTTCACATGATCGCAATGCAGCTCGTTGCAATTGAACGTAAGACCGCGGGGAGCGATCGTGGCAGGCCCTGGCAAAACCGTGTTGACGGAGCTTTGCTGGACTTGTTGTTATCCCTCGCACACAGCCGGTCCCGTTCGCTCTCGCGGCTCGGTGATGTTGCGCCCCCCCCCCCCCCCAGTCCAGATAATATTTCACGTGAAGAGCGTGTGTGGAGTTTGCTGCACGCACCACGCACACCGCACAACACACCGCACCACACACCGCACGAATCTCGCACCACAAACCCAAACCCAACCACACACACACCGTACGCACCGCACACCACAAACCACGCACTGCAAGCAGCCGCGTTTGCTGGAGGAGCTCGCCGTTTGGGACTGTGTCCAGGATGTGTGAGCTCCACGCACAATCCAGCCTGGTTAAACCCAGGATGGATCATAGGCAGGCCACCCTACATGTTTCTAACTGGCGCATTTGTTCCTTTTAAGAGATCCCCCCCCGTATGACTCTGTCCTGAGGGGCCACTTTTGCTAGCACCTGTCACAGGAGGTCATGGAAGGCACTTGACTCATGCGCCTCGCCTGGATCCCTCCACTGATGTTCATCTTCAATGGGGGAGTAAGCCACCAACACCACTCCTTGCCTCCCGTTGATGGGAAGGTGAGCCCACGGTATCCTGGGACTTTCAGCTTCCCATACCTCTCGCCCCCTCCCTTTCTTTTCTTCAGCAGAAGCGCCACTCCCTGTTTTTTTTGGCGGTTTCCTCCCCCGAGTAAAGCACTGGCCCACCCCTCTTAGTGACTGGAGCCAGAACCTAAATACCAGAGAGATCCAGGCGGTACCGGTCCAGCTCCCGACAGAGGAGTGGCAGCCTCTCCTCCGCAGTGAGCGTTCGGACATTCGACGTGGCCACTCGCGGTGGCTTTTTGGAGGAGCCCTCCTGTCTCCACCAAATGCGGTTTGGCCAGATGATGTCATGGGCGCCTGTCCCCCCGGGGTCTCCGGCGTAAGATTAGTTTTTATCTTTAATTCATGGTGTCGTGGCGATTTAATTGAAGGTGAACGGGTCGACAGCCCCTCTCGCACCCGTTTGGCCGATTGGTATCGGCCGTGCCCCCCCCAATGGCATTGCTCACTACCGCTGCGGCGTTTTTTACCACAGGCACCATCGGGCAGGTGGGGGTTGTTTTTTGACGGACCGACACACCCACGCGCACACACAGACATACGCGCACCGCCTGCTCGCACTCACTTGAACCTCGCCACACTCACTCACTCATGTCAACCTCACTCTATTCAACATCACATTGCACTCTCCCATACCGATAAGGGATACCCGTTGTGATTAATATGCATTCATTAATCCCCCCCCCCGCCCCCCGGCACGTGAAGGACTCGCAAGTGATGTCATCACACCTACCCCTTTATTTAAGGAACGAAACAGGGGGGAGGATTTCTCCACAAATCTGGCTGCCGCCTGATGATGCCAGTTGCGGTTACTGGCAAAACGTCGTACACTCAGATTGTAAATGTTGTGGAGTTACTCTCCAACACGCCGGTGTTGCTGTACTGGTAACGAATTGGCGTGCTCTGTTTACGTGACAAACCATACTGATTGGCTGTGTCGGGTGGTGGTGGGTTTAACGACACATTTTTACGTGATCTAAACCCCAAAACCTCTTATAGATACACTGTGCTATATTCCATTCAATACACTATATGCTACACCAACAATACACTATACTATATCTACAATACACTATATACTACACCTACACAATTAATTGCACCACAGACTGTAATATTGATCATACGCTACGGAACACGATACTGTACGTCACGCTGTGCTTTAGCCATCCACATTCCACCACTATACATTACAGCGGTGTTCAGTACTCCACATTGAATGGCACACACGAACTTGCACACGAATATAAAAAGACACTAACGCATAAATGTGAACGCACAAACACCTATCTTAATTAGTTGAATGGAGGCAACAAAAAAACCGTGTGAAAACCAGATAATTTTAAATCGTACAAACCAAACCACGAAGTGTTAAACTGAGGATATTTAGGTTACAAAAAACGCATTTACACAAACCCACGCGCACATTAACACTAACTTGAAAAAAAAATGCTAAAAACGATTAAGTTATTAAAAATAAATGTATAACAAACATTAAATATCTTCGCTGCGTTTGCGGCAACTGCTCCTCCCCCGCCCTACTGACCCCTACTGCTTGACCCCTACTGCTTGACCCCTACTGCTTGACCCCTACTGCTTGACCCCTACTGCTTGACCCCTACTGCTTGACCCCTACTGCTTGACCCCTACTGTTTGACCCCTACTGTTTGACCCCTACTGTTTGACCCCTACTGTTTGACCCCTACTGTTTGATCCTTACTGCTTGACCCCTACTGTTTGACCTTCTACTGTTTGACCCCTGCAGGGACCTTGAGTCTCTGGAGGTCGTAGAGTTTATGAGACCACCACTGACCTCTCCGTGGGCCCTAGACGGTCGAAACACGGGGACATATTTCGATTTAAAGCTTTCGTGACTGCAGGGATTCATCTTCTTGGTTCTTTCGGTAAAGTCACGTAGAAGGGAAATAATAAAATAATAAAATAAAACATTGTAAAATACAATTCTCACGACGTTTCGGCCACAACGCAAGCAGCCGTCCTCAGGTGAAGAACAGGTCTGTCGGAAAGACGGCGTCTGACGCTGTCTTTCCGACACACGGGGACAGCTTGACTTGGATGTTGAAGTTGCTCACGATCTCCTCCGCCTGCCTCTGTGAGCCGTTGTGGCCTCCCAGGGATCACGCGGAGGCCGTTTGGAGGCCGTTTGGAGGCCGTTTGGAGGCCGTTTGGAGGCCGTTTGGAGG